TCGGAGTGACCTTAGGACGCCGGCCAGAATTGATGATGCAGTAGGAGTGTCAATCGTCAACTGTCCTAAGTACCCAGTTAATTACTGCGACACGACTAAAAGGTCACTGGCCGCACGCGTTTGTGAGCTTGAACCGGTCTTCAGGTGGCGTTATATCCCCTTATGCGTCCAGTTGCGCAGTTTCGAGGCTGTTTATTTAGCTGCTTTCAAAACACAAATATTTGTACGCAACGAGATCTTGCCACCGATGCAGGGGTATGGCGTCTAACTCCACTCAAAAAGCTGTAGCAAACTACAACCCTAACGCAATCCATGGACAGGCCTGTAGTAGATAGCCCTGAACCCTAATCCACAAACATTTAAGTCCTCGAAAGTAATCGTAACATTAACTAAACGATAAAAACGTCGATCCTACCCTTTAAACCCTAGCCATAACCCGTGAACCTAATTCTGAAACCCTAACTCTAAAGCTACAGCGCTAAAACAAGAACCCCAAAGCTAGACTTAACCTCAAATCCAAAGCATATCACAGGCTTCTAATTCCTAGCCCTAACATTGGCCTAACTCCAAGCGCTAACCCTAGCCATGGCAATAACTTCAGCCCTGAGCCCAACACGGGCGACTTTAACGTCAACGACGTTAGCGAAGGTGAAAATCCACCTATCAAATAACTTCTTTCGCGACATTTTGCTCGGCGAACCGTTATGGACCACGCCTATTTGAATAAGATGAGAGGGTGGATTTTTGGACAACCACGCAGAGGGCTGCATACGGTATCCTCACCCAACCGGTGGCTGGAAGTCTGGGCAAAAATTGGTCAAACAAACTACTTAATTCTACAAATCAAGAAGTTGCCCGTCATCTTTACGACAATAATGAAAGTCCAATGGTAAATATACAGGAATAGCATCTTAGGAGACTGCCAGGCAGACCTACAGTATGTGGGCCAAGAAGTGAAATGTCAAACAAGATTCCGGAATGTGTTTTCGTTTTGGAAAGATTAATTAAATGGAGTTGTAAAGTAATCAGCCTGTAGCATAATTCGGTAGCAATTCAGTTACCTCAAGATGCCGGCTTTCGAACGAACTTCCTTCCGACTGCATATAAAAACTTCACTCTGTAAAAAATGACTACTTAATTAGCATGAATTTTTCTCATTGATTTTCGATGCGCATAAAAATTTAATCATATTCCATGGAAAACATGCATAAAAATATTCATTCTCTTGATCATTCGGTAGAAAATTACATTTTCTTCAAATTTTTTACTCGAAGGAGGGACATAATTCAGTTTTTGAAAAATTCCAATTGTGAGACTTTTTAATGTGATGAGATGACCGTTCATGAAAGGTCATGTCTCTGCAGTTACCAATGTGGCTTGTAAAGTTAACAATATGGATCAAATCCACTGCTAAATTTTATGAACCCCATATAGTGTCCTGTTAATGCCATAGAGAAATCTGTGGTTTTCCATTAGCGGAAAATATAAGGCTTGTAGTTTGCAAACCATGAATCCAAGTATAACGGCAGAATGGGTTCAAAATTAGTCGAAAATTAGAAGAGTCTTTAAAAACAGAATACTCCCCTTCCTTCGAGTACAAAACTGAAAAAAGACGTTATTTTTTCCGAATGATCATAAGAATGAATACTGTTACCTTCGTTTTCCGTGAAATATAATTGAATTTTCGATGACATCGAAAATCAGTGAGAAAAATTCATGTTACATAAGTAGTTATTTTCTACAGAGTGTAGTTTTTGCATGCAGTTCGTTCGAAAGCCGGTATCCTGCGGTTTCTGAAATAATATAGAATTATGCGGCAGGTTTACTAGTTTTACAGCCCTTCCTAATTAATCTTTTCGAGACGAAAACTCATTTTGGGATTTCGGTTGATATTTCATGGGTTAGCCAACCTACTGTATTCGCGTCTGTTAGGCTCCACATCGACTTCTGAAGGTGCCGCGACTTAGCACAACTGGAAAAATGACAGACGAATAATTGCCTTATATATCCTCCCTGTCTCCCAAAATCCGTTGTCGATTACACCAGCCCATCGCCAGATAAAATAAACAAGAAAGAGGTAGGATTATCGGCCCGGAATGCGTACTATCTCTGTTGATCAAATATATGGCCCAAGAGAAGGTAATAGATGAAATTTCAGATACAGGTTTCTATTATGTTTCCGCCGCTGCATGACGCAACTGTGAGAGATATGATAGGCAGAATGATGACGTTTGCATTCTGGGTACGTCAATTTAATACATAATTTTCATTGCAAGACAGGGCTGGGAATTTTTAAGATGCCTTAAAATTTTTCGCACAGCTAATGCGAATTGTGGGTCATCTATTCACTGTGAGGTTTGATGAAGGTACAATGTATTAAAATTCTGCACAGACATTTTAACTTTATGCAATCGGACGGATTGCACTTCATTTTATTACGTAGTATTTTCTCTTTTGCAGCCGTCAGGAATCTTGAGGAAAAGTCTACAACCCTAAAAAGCGTGAGATTGTTAGAGCTATTGTCGGGAATTCTCATCCGTTTTTTGTCTAAAATGATTTTATTTCTAGTTGTTCTAACATCGAGACATTGGTAATTATCACTTGTAAAAGTTCAATTGCGTGCACAAAAAGTTGAAACGTGGAAAATTCCACGTCTTCCCTCTTCTTTAATTTGCGGTGCTTGCAGTGGGCATTAGATATGAAGAATCCGAGCATCTGTTGGCCAGGTTTAAAGCGTCATAGTCCTGACTAGAATTTATTACAAGATTGATTCATGTGTCTTGGCCCTTATATAGGTACTAACTAAAAATCCCAGACACGTGGTTCGCCAACATTTCTGCTTCTGCAAAAATTTACCAAATAAAGTTTCCAACTTCTTCGAAAGAATGTATTTGACTGCAAATTATATTTCTTAGGACGCAGGCCTTCCGATTCCTACGTAGGAATTGCAATCCCGAAATGTTGCTTTAAGCTTGATAATGAGAAAATGTGTGCAATTCGCGAAGGTCTAACGTAAGAACAGTTAAAACTTCTACACAGTTGCCGAAAGAAGAAGATTTTATCAAGGCCTGTGCGTGTGAAGTCTGCCGTAAGATCTGCACTAGGATATCAAACGGGATCTCGTTACGGCTAAAACATGCTTGTTGCATTCATAGTTGATGCTCAGTACCGACTTAAAAAATTCCGGAATTCTAAGGAAGAACATACGAAATCTTGCTGTGACAATCTTCCCTTGAAGTTATTTTGATCTCAAAATGAAATGATCGCCCTCATATCTGGGCATGAAAGGCTAAAGCAGAAGGGTATGTTAGACAGAAGACGGTTAACCACTTCCAAGCCAGCTCGTACAGACCAGAATTGTCCAGCCAAGGTTGCAAATCTCTCCTTAGGAGTCCTTACAATAACGAAATTGAATGTCCTTTCGATGAAAATTACTTGGAGCTCCTTACAAACTTCCTGACCATCACATTAACTACAATCCTCACAGAATATGAACGGTTTACAATTTAAAACAGCATTGTACAGGTCTTGAAAAATCTAGATTATCTTTCTGTACTAGCAAATGGAAGAAAGAGGGTATAAAAGGGTTTACAACCCGACAAATAACTATCATTCTGCCTACAGGTAAAGGCGGCGTATCTATGATTTTGAACAAAGATGACTAAAATGAAAAGATGTTGGCACTCAGCCTTTGACCTTTTTTCACGGACCCAACTTAGGCATAGATGTCATCCAATAGGAATTGCCGAAGCGTCTTACAGGGATGAAGCCACTGCCAGGGGATACTGCCATATCCCAGAGACTATCTGAACCAACCATCGCCCAGATCCACTGACTGCCCAGAGTTCAAAAACCTAAAGTCCGACTGCGGCCGAATACATCGTAAAGCGATGCATCAAATTACAAGATTTCTAACTGTCTATTTCATCAGCTCCATCATTTAAGAGAGATAGGATTTCTAGAGTAATTGAGAGGAATTACAATTTCCACTGATAAGATGGTCTCCTTTAATGTTATTTCATTGTTCATATTCTCCCCATTAATTTAGTAAAAAAGTACACGAGTGATCTCTTACAGTCCTAAGACACAAGTATCCTCGCATTTGCTTCACTTAAACTCACAAGCTTTGTACAGAAATCAGTTTTTCGTTCGACCACGGATACTGTCAACAACTAAAGGGACCCCAAATGGGGTCACTTGTATTTGGTTTTCGTGCCAAGGTGACAATGGAAAGCTAAAATCTACGGTTTTGTCAATAGCTAACCTTCGGCTCTGGCTACAATATGCAGATCTCGCGTTTAATACCGTCAGAAATGACTAACTGGCGTCGAGACTCAGGGATGCTGAACGCCAGTAGTAAAAGGAGGTCGTCGTTGTGGACGCCGTGAAGGTCGGAGTAGTGTCGGTGGGAGAGGCAGCAATTCGGCTTGTCGTACTGTTAGTGCACTGAGTCCGAATATGTCTGACAAGGCCGATTCGCGCGGGAAATTTTCATCGAAAGCTCGGGCATGTTAGGGGGGGGGTTGGCGGTTGACGTTGGGGGTCAGGGGCGCAGAAAACTGGCAAGCTTCCTTTTGACTTCGGCAGCGGTGATCTGGTTGGCCTTAAATAAGGGTCGCTCCAGTCTCCACTGTTGGTATCTAAGCCTGTCGGTCCTTGCGAGGTCCTCGAGTTGATTTGTAATCGCCTCAAGGTGGTCTTGTAGCGGTTGGTTCGGTTTTCTTGTCTGTGAGCACCCGTAACGGCATTCCCGTATGAGAGCCGTTTTGGTAGGCAAGCGTCGTCCATTCTCACCAGGTGGTCGCTCCACCGCAGTTTCAGTTGCCTCAGCAGGACGTAGATACTGAGGACTTCAGTCGGGGATCCAGTCCCGCCACTTCAGGTTTAGTATTTTGCACAGGCAGTTAAGATAGAAACGATTAAGTTTCCGCTCCTGCTTCTGGTAGACTGACCAGGTCTCTATTACACAGAAAAATCGCCAAGGTGACAGCTTCGCACATCTATCTTTTGGTGTTCAGGTAGAGACCGTGGCAATTCCATACGGAGTTTTGCAGCCGACCGAAGGCTTGGCCGGCTCTGGAAATCCAATGGGGCACCTCGTCGTCGATTTCGATGCAGTCTGAGAGGGTGCTGCTTAAGGAGGCGAAATCGTTTACGGCCTCCAGTTGAACGTCGCTGACATGGATGCGAGGAACCCTGTTGGATGACGGTTGATGCATGACCAGCGTTCTGTCCACTTTGATGGTAGGCGCAATGTTGAGGTAGCCGGAGTCGCTGAGAACCATGTTTCGTTGTTTGTCAGCATCTGTCGCGGTACTGAGCGCACATTCATCCGCGAAGAGCAGGTCGTGGATTGTAGTCACAGAGAGACGTGTTGGGATCTGCATGTGCCGGCCGCTGAGAAGATGGTCGACGGTCCTATAGACGATACGAATTCCCGGGTGTTGATCACGGTAGGCGTTTAACAGCATGGGAGAGAGCACGAGGTCGAAGATGTTGCGACGGGTACGCAGCTCTGTCTCACTCCACTGGTCACTTCAAATGTCCGTAACGCGCGACACCATCCAGGTTGAATTACTCACGACGGCCGAATTTTCGCAAGATTTTGCCCAGTCTATCGAGATTCGCTGAATTGAAGGCTTTGGTCAAGGCCACAAAGGTATTGTATTGGTGGGTCGCATCTCCTGATATTTCTCTAGCAGCTGGCGTGCGGTGAAGATTACGTAGGTGGATCTGAGGTGGCGTTAGGAACCACACTGACTTTCCGGCAGAAGTATCTTTTCAAAATAGCCATTGGGACGGTTGCGAAGGATGCGAGCGACTATCCTTCCGACGATGTTGAGTAGCGAAATTCCTCTGTGGTTACCACAGAGTTGTTGGTTTCCTTTTTTCTCTTAGAGGTGGGCGACTGTTGCATCCCTGAAATCACTACGAGCTTTTCGTTTACGCTAAGTCATCTGAAATATCGTTGTGAGTTGTTTGAATGGCCGGGGGGCGCTGTACTTGTCCACTTCCGTCGGCATTATATCGCATCCCGGCGCTCTCCTGCTGGACAATTAGTGTACGGCTCCGATTATTTTCGGGGAGAAAATTTGAGGGGTCCGGATCATTGTTGCTTTGCACGTTGGGGAGTCAGTCTATGACGAGGTTGAAGACTGCGGCTGGGCGGTTAAGGACGGATCTGAAGTGTTTAGTTCAAAGCCTTAGAACCTGTGATTTATCCGTCAGAAATGTTGTTCCATCAGAGCTGAGAATTGGCGCGGTTTCTTTGGTTGTGGGACCGTACATCGCTTTAATAGATGTGAAGAAATTCTTCGCTTCATTTCGATCAGCATATCCCTAGATTTCCTCGATCTTCCGAGCCATCCATGCGTCCTGCATCCATCGCACTCTTTTCTGTATGAGGCGGCGATGGAGGAAGAAGGCCTCCTTGTTCGCCTAGGTCCGATGGTCGATCTGGGCCTTGTGCGCACTGTGCCTTTTATCGATCAGGTTGCGGATGTCTGCGTCGTTGTCGTCAACCCAGTCCTGATGTTTGTGACATTCGATTCCGAAAACGTTCAGGGCAATGGATTGGATGGCATTCTGCAGTTGACGACGCCGAGTCTCCACAGTGACATTTTCGGCCGGGGTCGTCGGCTCCTCCAGGTGCTGGGCTTACGGTCCCATTTACATATTAGTGTGAATACGGCAGTGATTTTGCTGTACGTACTGAACCTTTCTCATGATTGTCCCTTCCAGCAACCGACAGGACGATGAGGCCTGGCTCAGTGTCAGAACGCGTATAGTTGCGAATATACCGGATTTTGATAGGCGAACCATTGTCTGGAACTCTGCTATAAGGCCTTCCCCCTACTTCCTGTTGCCCAAACTGACCAAGGGAATTCTCTAATCGCATGGGTCTATTCGGTCGTAATGCATCTATAAAAGTCTTTATTTAAAAAAAAACGGTCTACACCAATATGGACATTCACACTGGTAGGCTACACACGAATTCATTTCCACAAAATCGCAGCCACCATATAGCCCTCCTGCAGCATGCAGGCAGTTCACTTTGTAAACAACAGGACTGCTTGCGAGACGTCGCAGTCAAGAACATGCGCACCTGTCTTAAGTAGGCGGGATATCATCTGGTGTTGGCCCCACCTCGAGTAGCAGGACGTGGACTTTCTAAATGGGTGGGGGTGGAGCAGGTGCTGTATGAGGTCTGCTCGTCAGATTGTCCTCCTGCAAATGGTTAATGTCTCATCCTCACTCTTACGTACAGTAGGTGGCTAACTCATGAAATGTCCACCGAGTATGATTGTAAAAACTTGTCAGACTGCAACATTTTTTCTGTAATATTTCAGTTACCTCAGGATGCCGGCTTTTGAATGAACTTAAGCATGCAGGATGGCATTTAGTTCCACCTCGCGCAGCAGGCGGTGGACTGTCCTAATGAGAAGAACAGTTGTTGCATGAAGTCTGCTCGTCAGATTGTCCTTCTGCAACTGGTTAGTGTCTCATCCTCACCCTTACCTACAGTAGGTGGGCTAACTCATGAAACTCAAAAACTAATCCACTCCAACTTCGTAGATAATTTCTGAAGAAATTAAAAAGCGACAATTTCCTAATTGGAGTATCTACCAGAAAACACACGGGGAATGCTGGGGGACCCATTGACAAGCCGAGCCCCTCGCAGCTGCCTCATGCGGCGGCAAAACATCGACAAAACACGCGTGTATGGTCTTTAAACTAATACCTGTGCTGTTAGTATGATATAACCTTACCCTGAAGTATACTACTAGCTGCCCGTTGGCTGTTAATGAATATTACGCGGTTACTCGCTGTGGCTGATGGACTTTGGCCCAAATATTAATGCATAAAATTCTCGGTCTGTGCCTATAGACCTTGAATAAACTGATCTTCTCCATCTTCGTAGATGGACAATCATGAAAGGTCAACCGAAATTCCGAGATGGGGTTTTGTTTCGAAAAGATTAATCAAGAAGAGTTTTTAACGTAGTCAGTCGGCAACATAATTCTACAATATTTAGGTTACCTCAGGCTGCCGGCTTTCGAGTGAAATTCCTTTCGGCTGCATGCAAAACTCTGTAAAAAATGACTATTTATGTAGCATGATTTTCCTCATTGATCTTCAATGCCCATGAAAATTGAATTATATTCCATGGAAACCATACATAAAAATATTCATTCTTTTGCTCATTCGGTAGAAAATTACGTCTTCTCAATTTACACTCGAAGGATGGAAAGAATTCGGTTTCAAAGAAGTTTCTAATTGTGGGAATTTTCAATACCGTGAAATGGCCGTTCATAAGTCGTCATATCTCCGCATTTACGAATGTGGCTTGTAAAGTTAACAATATGGATCAAATCCACTGCCTAATTTTATGAACCCTATATGGTCCTCCTTTACTACCGTAGAGAAATGTGTGGTCTTCCATGCGAGGAAAATATACGGCTTGCAGTTTGGAAACCCTGAATCCAAGTGTTACGCTAGAGCGGGTTTAAAATTATTAGGAAATTGGAAAACTTTTTGAAACCGAATTATATCCCTCCTTCGAGTATAAAATTTGAAAAATAGGTAATTGTCTACCGAATGAGCCAAAGAATGAATAATTTTAAGCATGTTTTCCATGAACTATAATTGGACAGATAGGGACATCGAACATCAATGAGAAACATTCATGCTACATAAGTAGTCATTTTTTACTGAGTGTAGTTTTTGCATGCAGCCAAAAGAAAATTCATTTGAAAGCCTGCATCCTGAGGTAACTGAAATATTATAGAATTATGTTGCAGGCTGACTAGTTTTACAACTCTACTTAATTAATCTTTTCGAAACAAATACGCATTTTGTAATGTCGGTTGACATTTCATGAGTTAGTCCACCTACTGTACGATAGTCCTTGGAATACGGGCGAACTTCACTGTGACTCACTCATTATATGCAACAGGTAATGCCAACGCATTAATGGTCCTCTCTCTCCCTCTTGTCTGTCAAGTATGTTTCCATGTACGAGGGCAGCAGCTGGTGTAGTTTCATGATCACTTGATCATTACAAACTGATCCTTTAGATTCTGGAGGCCCTCTACCCGCCCCTCCGTATCGCTGCATCATGTTTTGATTTCTAGAAGGGATTGCTGGAAGTGCAGCCTTTGTAAGTTCCCGAGGGGCTGTTTTGACAGCTGGGGAGTTGTGTTTGTAGCCTTTGGGTGCACCGCCGTCCAGGTTTCCCCATTAAGTATACGGGTGTCGAAAACGTGAAGAAAGGGCTCATGTTGCCCTCTTTCCCCGTCACTTTTACTCTGGATTTGGGGATGGGTTTTGTTAAGCGGTCGCCTGCAGGGTTGCATGTGAAGTCCTGCTGTTTCATCGGACATTCTGTACTTTACAGCCCCCCCCCCCCCAGCCCAGGTCAATAATGTGCTTCGCTGATCGCGCAGCTGACCGAGAACTTTGTAGATTTTCAGCTACAAGTAAGCCCGTCGATGGCGTGTTTTGTAAGCAGGTTTCTAGCATACACTTCTGAGCTCCCTTCAGCGCAAAAAAGGTAATCAGGGCCTCGCTGGTTGGGGTTTCTCAGCGAGGGGGCATCTACGTTTTCGTCCTTCTGATCACACGCTGGGAGATGGTCTTGCTCCAGGGAAAGCTTCATTGTCTGTAGGGCTGAAGGGGGTGAGAGTGATTGTTACTGCAGCTGCCCATCATGCGACGATCTAGCAGATGCAAACAGGTAATGTGGCCTTTGCATGCATGGACATCAAATTTCCCAGTAACAATCAATTTGACCGTCTTTACCATAGACGCCATGCAGGTCTTCTCGTGATTTTCTCTTCGCACCGGAGATGGCCATGGGGGAAGCCACAAAGGAGGTCACCATAAGGTCATCACGAGGACGTCGCATTTGTTCTCGTGGAATGGCAGCCGCACCGTTATGAAACGACTGTTGATTCCTCACGGGAGGCAGAACAGGTGACTCACGACGTCGTTCTTGATGATGAAAACGACTCTGATGTCTGCATTTGGACGCCCTCTCCAGTTGATTATGCATCCTCCAACCTCCTCCAGTGTTCCCTACCCGGAGAATCCAGTCTCACTAGGAGCTGCGATGTCCACGGCGTAGCGCACCAGTTCCCAGGGCACTAAACTGTCCTCCTTTCCGTCCGCCACGTCACTGGTTTGTCTAAATAGAACGGGCATATCACGTTACCAGAATGGATAATGACATGATGGCAGCCTGTGGGGAGACAAGAGGATGGGGATGAGAGTAGTTATCTGTTGTCGATTTTTAGCTAAAAGTCAGCCTGTCGATGATATTCTTTGTTAGCAGTTTCTAGCATACACTTATGACGTTCTTCAGCGCAAAAGCTAAGCAGGACCTCGCCGATTGAGACGTCATTCTGGATGTCTGTCAAACTCCAATGAGAGTCGCGATTGTATTATAATGCAAGAGGTCTGTAAGCGTGTG